AAGTTTTCTCGAGTTTTGGATCTATACTTCTCAAGTTTGACCGTAGATACTTTATCTCGAAGGTTATGTGCACATGATCCATGGATAAGGACTAAACTACAGGAAAATTATGTGAGCTTGTGCAGGAGTTTAAAGTAAAGGATCAGATTGGATTTAATGTTACGTCCAAGTTTTGCTCCTTACCGTTTTTGAAGTACAGTATGTCGATCTATTTGCAATTCAAGAACCCAAATTAACAACAGAATCAAACTCCAAAGTAGGTACCAAAGTTTATTTGTAATTCACAAATAATCGAACAAACTGTCGTTCGTCAATTTACAAATAGACGACCAATGTCGTTCGTCAATCTACAAATAGTCGACCAATGTCGTTCTAACAACAATAATTATAATAATTACAAATACCTTCAATTTTATAGGTTCCTGGAGAAAAAACTCCAAATGAATAAACCAAGACAAGCAGAAATCAAAACGGCCGAAAATAATAAATCAAACAAGTTCATAAGTTAAGTAAAACAAATATACCCAAAAAACACTGTGAAATTAATGATATTTATATAAAGGTTTTAATCAGCCAAATGTCTTCATTTCTCCCGTAACACTCCCGACCAAAAGAACCTTGGTTCTTTTCACCGACAAAAATAGGTAACAACAACACGAGTATGTGCATCACATCAATCAACAACAAACATTCAATATAGATTCTACGCCGGTCCGCAAAATCCCTCCACGCAAAACAAGCCCTTCCTGACACTTCAATTTAGGGTTCACTCTCATCCCCTAATGCACACCGGAAGAACGAGTAGGACTTACAGCAGTACGCCTAACCGCCCTCCAACATGGATATGACCTATCAGGTTAACTAGGTACCTGTACCTTCCCATCACGGTCCTTGATTCCCCTATCTATCGTAGCATGACCTAACGGTAGTATAAACCTTATCCAATTAACCCACATGAACATGTACAACATGTCACAAAGCTGGTCATATCCTTTTCGGGATTTACATTCCACATCATGGGGATGAGTCGTCAATCCACCACCACTTGCTCCGAACGGCAGATACGATGAAGTCAGTGATGCTGACGTATCAACAGACGTTCTTGACCCATAGATAATATGCAAGGGCGGGACCCCCAATTAAGACATCTCCTCGTCTACTGAAGACTCTAAGTAGCATAACGTAGGAATAATATTTAACTCTCCATCTCCTGGCACAGAGGAGGTTTGATCAGCATTCGTCATCGTCGACAACTTACTTAATGGTAAATTTGTATCTGACATGCTCACATTATTCTTGCTTTCCAAAACAGAGGATTTACGAGCAAAAATTTAAAAAACCTTCGGAACGAAGAACAAATTATCTGTCAGCTGATTATCGACTTTCGCATCGAATCATTAACGAATATAACTCACTAAACCAGTACAAAGTTGAAGCCTCAGATCTTGACTATTTTAGAGAAGGAAGAATCAACTGAGAGAGCGATGTTGCACTGACTGACACAGACCACTAGTTCTTTCCAAACTACAGGTAGTTACAATTTCCTCAGAATCTGATAATAGTACGGAATAGTGGTTGAGCCTGAGAAAGTGAAACTACACGTTAAAAAAACTGCACTTTAAAAAAAATTCATAAAGTTTATCTGATGTCCACTGACTGGGTCAATAATGAATCTGCCACTCCTTGGTTTTGATAAGAAATTATTAGCTGGAAATTTCGACACTGTATCTCTAAACTTCAGCAAGTAGAGCACAACTATCAAAGGTCGGTTCCACAAGCGACTCGGTCTAGCTCTTGAAGGTTCCGGATTGAATGTAAATGTACTCAGCGTTACTAGATGGACTAAAGATGTAAAATCTTCAAACTCATATTATTTGTTAAAAAATGATCAGCTCTTGGACTAGAATGTCTATGTCCATGGCCAGGTAGACAGTAGTGACCATAACACAGACATGTTTAGCATCTTCATTAACGAATTACTCAGAAGGGATTGAAGCGAGCCCCACACACTAGGACAATTACACGCTAATGAGAGAGCATTTATTACATGCCCCATGGCCATGGAAATGGTGAAGGATAGAATTAGATGATCACTGGCAATCAGTAAGTTTCATCACCTAGAAAACTGTCCTAAAAAAGGTACATAAGGCGCATCACACACAGATAAAGCGAAGAATTGAGGTTCAGCGGAGCGGTCAATTCTAGCTTCAGGCGGAAAGGAGAACCTGTCATAGGTGTGTTACGATCATCTCTAGGTATGCTTAAACTATTACGAGTTCACCTTAGTCGACTAACGAGAACAAGACAATGAACCAGCGTCCGGGAATGCTACTGTGATCCCTTGACCGAAAGGTATCAGGAAGAAGTCTTGATTTAGTGTAGAAACTGTATTTTACAAACACCCAGCAAGCACATAATGAATTCAAGCACTCAAATTGCGTTTATCTGTACTCTGTAGAGACCTTCTTGGGTCAGACACAAAAATGGCACATTTAAATTACACAGTAACCAATCACGGCCAAGGATTTTCCTGGTGGGAAATGTGATCTCACGGTCAACTGATCGGCCCATGAAATGAATCCCAAATAAAGATATTTATCAAGCGAGTTCTGGGGATCTAAAATCCTGAACAAGGAGGATGGACTTTATGAAGGTTTAAAACTGTAGTTCTTCCTTGACTTTCAGAAACATATACAATCCGAAAGTCTGCCGTGGTAGTAGACAATTCCAGACGAGCCTAGCAAACAAAATAAAGGCGAATTCAAGAAATCCCTTTAGGTTCATGATTAAAAGAATAACTAAGAAATGGAATGTTTATGTATTCAAGGGTTCAAAAAGCGAAAGTTTTCGGTAAAGTAATCCAACAACACGAATTTACGAAACTCTCAGAAATGAGCTTTACTGACCCGATTCTAATGTGACTCAGGAACTACATCGATAGCAGAATACTAAGAACACATGTAAATAGACCACTGTACATCAGCGCGCGAATCTCAAAATAAGAAATTAAACTTGGGACTAAGATCTACTACATATACTACAATGTAATGTGAAGGGAAGAATACTTCTCTCTGAGCTATTACCTTACAGTAAATTGAGTGGATATTATGACGTTCTGCATTAAAAGTGTCAAGATTCGAAAGTGAAATAATAATTCATGATTGGCTTGCAGCTGCACATAAACTAGGGTTTGGAAGTGAAGCAGTGGAGAGGGTTGCGGCCCCGCTAATCTTGGGAGTCTCATCAGTGCTGATGGCCTTGTGTGTGGCGAAATCTCATCATGGATATAGAAGGCTCGATTGGATTTTGCCAATTGGCGTCACTCATGGCGTATGCGAGATATCGGTTTGCTAACCAAAGGACGAGTCTACTGCGCGGTAGTTCTCTCTGTTCTACTATATGGATGCAGAACATGGCCGGAAAGAGTGGAAGATAATTGGAGGTTGCTGGTCCATGAAGTCACTGACAAGTGGACCGAGTCATGTCGGTAGGTGTCGACTACCTGGTTGGGATCCGCGAGATGATAGTAATCGATGGTCAGGGACCTTGAACGACCGCATATAATTGTTTGCAATGGCGCAAGTGCATCTGTTCTTTTTCTCCTCTCAAATTTTGTTCCTCTGGATCCTTCATCACTTTTATCTCTCTCTATTTAAGTTTATTTCACTGGTTAATACTTCCTGAATAATATCTTCGAACTCTAATATCTCAAATTATTACTCATACTTCTACCTCAACTACTATGAGATTTGAACTGGCAATTCCATCTCCCTGTGCTAATGTGGTATGGCAACTTGAACTAAGGTATGTTTGTACGAGGTTCTACGTCGTAACTGAATTGCCGACGGTTGGCTGTCGTTGCTCCCTTTTCTGTCGCTATTGCTTTCGCTACCCACCATTGTTTGCAGTCCTTCATCAGGCTTCTTATCAGCCTACGCCCAAGCTGACTTCGCTCTTCATCATGTTCAGAGTCAGGTGGGATGAGTTTTCGAGCATCCGTCAGTTTGGTGGATGCTACTGAGATCCACGGCTTCACCCTAGTCTTATGGTTTACCTTACTAGTGGATATCACTGCTGTTTCCACAGCTTTTTGGTTATCACTTCAAGCTGCCTCTGGATGGAAATCACTTACATGGTCGCCTAACTGTTTTTCTAGTTGTCCCTGAAATATATTCTTAGCTTTGTTATCATTAAGTAGAACCCTAACAGGTTTCCTTACGGTGTCTTTCCTACGTCCAGTAATTCGCAAACAAATACACGTTTGCACTAGAGCATGATCTGAATCTAGATATGTGCACCAGAACGAGCGACAGTCTTCTATCGAACTCCTCCATCGGTGGCTGATAGCGATATTGTCTTGGTGGGTCCAGAGTTGAGACGACTTTGTGATTCGCCATGTCAAGAAATGTTTTTCTTTATGCTTAAAGTTAGTGTTTGCTAGGAATAGACGGTTATCTGAGCATAGTTGCAGCAGGACAGTCTCCATTATCTGTTCTATTAGGCGCGACACTATAAGGTCTAGTGTCTTTCCCCTTTACTTCGTCTACCTACTTGAGTATTGAAGTCACCAGCCGTAATAATGCACCAAAGTGCTCGACGTTTTGGAGGAGTTCCAATAGCTTTCTGTAAAACTCATATATCACCTCGTCTGAAGTGCATTCTTTGGGATCGTATGCAGATACTACGATGAGACTCAAAATTCGGCTGAAGTATGTGACTGATATAATCACGCATACTTGGCTGCTACCTTGTAGTGACTGGGTAGCCTATCTTGATGACCCAACTGAGCTATACTGGTTGGTATGTTTATGTAGGTCCTACCATGGATCGTGCGGTCACCAATATCTGTCCTATTAGCCGCGCCACCAAAAGATCGGATGTCTTTTCACTATACTTATTCTACGCACTTGAGCATTGAAATCACCGGAAATAATCACTACATCAGAGTGCTGAGCGTTTTTGAGGTCGGATTGGGAAGCTTTGTTTGTTTAAAATGATATAGAGGACTGTTTTTAATTTTCGGCACCTCATACCGCGCAATGTCCGTTGAAAACTCAGAAATGGATACAAAAGAACTCAGAAAGTTAATTGAAGATAAAGCAAACGAATCCATAGAAGGAATACAGAGATTTAGAGAAATATATAGAAGAGAAATGGCAGAGTGTAAACACTTCGTAATTGAGAAAGTAACTTACGATAAATTCTGGACATTAATTTGCATTGGTTTCTAGGTATCTGAGTTTTTCGTTGATTTAGAAGGGAAAAGTCAGAAACAGGAGAACAGTGATGATGAAGTAATTCAGAGGCTCATATTAGAACTCATGGAACAACTTGAAAGCATAGATACTCTTTTGAACGAGATTGATATGTGCAAGGATACACTCTCGAAATTGAACGAGATGTTAACTGGAAAAGAGGGTTCTGACTGACATTAAAATGAACTATAATATTAACTTTAATTTGAAACAGATAATAGACGAAGTTATTCCAGAAATCGACCTGAATTGTAGAGTTCAGCCAATTCTGTTTAATATTTCATTTTTTCTAAAAACTGAGCAATCCTAATAAAACGTTTACTCTCAAGGCTATTTTCTTTTTAAATTTTTTATCCATGCAACTCTGATTTATATAAGTATAAAATAGGACCTGATTATGTTTTGTGACGTGACTTACTATCCCGTTTTTAAATATATCGATTAGATCTTTAATTACATACTTTGTATCTAGATATTAACATAAGCGTCTTAGAGTGGAAACAGTCCTGTTATGGTGAACCTACATTATCAAACTTGCAAGGGTACCAGGATTTAGTTCATATACTGGAGATGACTTTTAATAGTAATAGTGGTTGGTTAGTTGGCTGGAGAATGATTTGAAGCCATTAGAGTGTGTAATGTGTTCTAGCACATAAAATTCTAATAAAACTAGCATAAACTTGTTGTTGGAAACGTTCGAATACATAAATTTTTATGGGATATCACCAAATATTCCACTTGTAGATAGTCTATAAAGTATAATTCGATTAAAACTTTACCTACACCTGATTCTACGATGCTGTTACAATTCAAGAGATGGTTTTGAAACATGAAGTCAATAAATATAGCATATTAATAATAACTTGCAACTATGGGTTGTCGAACGATTATTAACGGAGTAAGGACAGGTGCCTGTATTAACATATACTGTCCTAGTAATGAAAGTGTAAAGGAATTGTTAAGGAATAAGCTACATATAACAAAAAAATAAACCATATATTTGCGCAGTAGGTTAGTGCATTTGGAAAGCTGTACCAATTACATGGACTACTACGTACTGATTGAAACTCACAGCGCTTGGAAAGGTACCAGATACTATCTACTTTTTTTATCTAGTGATCTGGTATTTTTATATAAAAACCATAAGTTAGAATCTCAATTAATAAAGAGGATGTTTTCGGTATTGTATGCACCATGAAAAAATTGTCGTATATGTTAATTAGAGAATATCAGAAACAACTGGTTTTTATTTATGCAATAATAAAGCTACATTTACATTCACTAAAGTATTATGAAAATAACTAGCTGCATATGCAAGAGAGCTGTATATTTTATAAATGTATACGTACAGACAAGAGCAGTTTTATGCATTTTTAGGTATAACAGTTTCATTTGATGGAGAATAATAACATCGTGTAGGAATATTTTCAAATAGAGCTCTCTTCCAGTCTCCATTAGTTTCCTTGGCTACAGCCATTATTCCGTGAATGCAGTTTATAGATAATGATTTACTTTTGCCACTTCCCCATTTTAAATAGCGATCCAAAGGTAGACTGATAGATTTTATACCTTGAAGACATTAAATGTTGAAAAAAGAACAAAAAAATCATAAAAGACATTATTGTATAACTAAAGATAACAAAAGCTTTACATGTATTACAAATGATAAGGCTGACTCGTCGATAAAAATATGAGCGAATAACCTAACATCATGATCATGTTGAGGATGTAAATTATCAGAAATAATATAATAAAGTAAATTCACAAAGGGAAACGCAAAGTAGGAGTAATTGCACCTATACCGGTAAGGAAACAAACAAAAAAATGGTTGTAGGAAAAGGATAAAATATAAATAATAAAACATGTCTACGAGAAGACTAACTGTTTGTAGGATCAGGATTATAAGATCTGATAAATACAATGGAAAAAGATGTTTGCAGTTCAGAAGACGTATTTCTACCAGAAAAGCAAACCGAGGCACATATTATGTGGACAAGATTTTTCAAGTAAACTTTTAACAACATTGAGACAAGTCGATTGGCTTAAGAATGCTGACAGAGAAATGACTGCATGTAGTAGATTGGTCCACTCGAAAACAGGCCGAATGATAAGTATACACAACTATTCAAATAATGGCATTATTTAAAAAAAAACTGTAAAAGATATATATATATATTCCCAATTTGGTTTAGTTGATAAACCTCTTGCTAGCACTCAATCTTTTCAGTGGAGTAGCTGGTTTGAGTGGTGTGTAGAAAGATTACATATCACCGTCAAAATCCCACAGCAAACTCCAAAATAGTATGCGGTAGTACACTAATGAAAACTGCTATGATCTTTTTGAAGTGTGAATCGTTTGCGGAGTTTGACGATGACCGAATTGTTACTCCTGAACGTAAACGTCAACTTGATATACTTGAATTATTACGACTTTACCTAGTCGGAAAACGAGAGCAAGGATCGAGGATCCGGTGACACGAAATACTACTCCAATCCAATTATCCCAGCCCCCCCCCATAATAAGTAAAAATAAGAAGACTTGATATGAAGTACAACTTGTGTTCTACAAGCATCCAGAAAGTACGAGGTCCGAATCCGGATCCCGGAATAGGGATCCGGGACCGAGCCCTGGTCCTGGTCATAAAACGTTACAGATAATGCGTATTTATACATTTTGGTCGAATAGGAAACAGCATCGAATTCTGTGGCATTGACAGTCCGGATGACCAATAAGAGATAACATTGAAGTATTTGACTTTGACAGTTAAAACGACCATAATTTTAACCAACAGAAATCGACAAATAGGATTTGACCAATAATTCTCTTAGGATGTTAGATGAATATCCTAACACGAATATACAAGAATGCTGCAAATAATTGGTAGCCCGTACTTCATATGAGTTTCTTCAACGTTTCAGAACCTCATACTAATTGATAGTGAAGTTTGGTAAATAGATGAATATAGTCCCGGAGCACGGAAAATTTACCGATTATATATGGTCAACAGTTATCATGAGCATGCATCAAAGTTATATCAAACAATTTTTGAATCACCCTGATTTATCGGTTGCTTTATCATGCCAGATAAACTACGGACTATTGCACGAGGATGTAAACACTTGAACTAAACTAATCAAAATCTCAAAAAAAACACAGGAATTTAAAAGTTTCAATAGCCATGATAAAAAATGGTCCGCAATATTAAGTATATGATTCTAGGTTTCAGATTAGGATTGAGAATAAATCACGATGAATATCATAAACTAGAATCCAATATGAGAACAAAATTAATGGTATCGATCAAAATTAATTAAAACGAATTTAGAAAAACATTGGAATCTTTAATCACTGACAAGAAAACCCTTTCTGGTGGTATTAAGACGTTTAAGTTCATCTGAAATCTATTGAAAAACGAGGATGAGAAAACCTCATTCTTCCTAACTTGACAATTACTTTTTGCATTTTGTTACTCACACAATTTACGCAAAATGAAAAGCATACGAACAAGGGTTAGGAATAAGAGTTCCTTGGGTTAATACTCAAACAATCATACGCGGGTAATTCTGCTCTTCTACTGATGATTACCGAACGAAAACCAATTCTAATTAATACTACTTACGTAACTGTCGGGCTATCGCAGAAGAAATTGGCCTTCGAATAGCTTTATCCACTATTGCCCCAATGACATAAATTGCGTTATGATCATATTCACCAGCTTCAAATGTTCGACGTGCATCTGGAGACAAGAGTATAACAGGATGTTCTGGATCATGAATAGGATATTCATGGGAAAAATGGTTGGGGGTGATAGTCCATGGAAGCTCATTTAGGCTTTTGATGGTTGTTTTCTTCATATTGTGCATCAAAAGAATGAGACATAAGAAGGCAAGTTAAAGTTAGAAAGCTTGTTGGTGAAATATGGGTTAGGAAACATAAATGACCATCTTAAAACTGCGTCAATTAATCGAAGGGATAATTAGCGTAATTCCAAAGTTAGATGATATTTAATTAATACGAGAAAACTGTAAGAATAAGAAACAGATAGAACTATTAGGGTAAAAGAGTAAGAAAATAGTAACCAATGACTGAAATTTCAAATAATACTTGAAATCTAGTCTTCATGAACCTGAGGAAACTATTTGAAGAGTCAGGATGAACCCACAAGCACTAGTTCAGCAATATTAATCATTCCTAAATGCGAAATAACAAACTCAAGTAGCGTAACAAATGTACGTGTCAAGCCATTCAAATAAGTCCATTTAGGTTAATCTTAGAGATACAAAAACGTATCTTCGCTGAATTCAAACATAATACCGGACTCTCGAGTTTACATGACACTATCACCGAATAAGAAAGAACTAAAGATATTACAATGTTTGATAACAGATTATCATTAATTCATTGTGATAAAATTTTCCAGGAGCCAGGGATGACTGAGCTTATGAAAATGTCTAATATTAATATCAGTCAGTTGAAAACAGTGACGAAGTTCATACTATTCCATACTGTTAAAATAGTTTAAATAACTACCAAGGTACACGATGTTTCGGACTGCTTCAAAAAACTCATTGTTAGCCATGAAAACAAACAAAAGTGAGGGTTACTTAAGCAAAAGAATTTTGCTATTATGAATGACCAAAGGCGGACCATATTTATTAACAATAGTGTTCCATCGATTGAATGTCACAATGGTCAAGATCCATTTACTGATAAATACTGAGTTATCTAAGTAACAAATTGCGACGATACACCAGTGTTATGTATGAAAGTGAAGTCAACAAAATTATTACTAAACGTGAATTCGTATTCCCTTCAGGCCTCAAGATGTTGATAAAGCAATCTAAATATTCATCAACTACATTGTTTTCACAGTTTCTGATAAGTCTGAGGACGTAAATATTGAATAAAGAGTATGGACGTAAATTTTGACTGATTACCCTTAAATGAATCTTCGCAAATGTACTATATAATAATGGCCAGAACGTTCAATAGATTAAAAAGACAAATCGTTAAGACCAAGAAATTGGTTTAGATTTTTCAAGGTCCTCAAGGAACCTTCCACGGTGTGGACAAGGAGGAGGTGACAACAGCCCTCTTACCCGAAACAGCACGCGAGATCAAAATTGGTCACAATCAAGTCCTTCCTACACTCCCAAATAACTCTCTTCTCTCCACGACTAACACTACTCACATTCCTTTATCTCACTGCACCGCTAATGCAAACGATTCGAGTTCAAGAAAAGTTATTCCTGGTCTCCTGAAACCCCGTTCTAGACTACATGTTGGAGCTTTCAATGTACGGATATTGTGTCAAATAGGACAACAGGCTTCCTTAGCTAGGAAATTAGAATCTCGCGCAATAGATGTATGCAGAGTCTCGGAAACGCGCAAACAGGATCCTAGTAAAGTCATTAATTTGATTACATTGTGTCAAAATAAAGAAGCAACTCGATGTACTCGTGTATCTGAGAGCCCTGATGCTACTTCCCAAGGTCTTGCTGGTGCAGGTATAGCATTGAGTCGTAGGGCTGAACTACCTCTCAAAGACTGAATCCCAGTAGATAGTCGCTTATGCGCTATCCGAACAAAAGGAACAGCATGAAGTCAGGAACATAGGGACACTAACTGTAGTAATAATGGCTAGTGACTTCAATTCTCAAGTAGGTAGACGAAGTAAAGAGGAAAGACACTAGACCTTATAGTATCGCGCCTAATAGAACAGATAATGGAGACCGTCTGTTGCAACTATGCTCAGATAACCGTCTATTCCTAGCAAACACTAACTTTAAGCATAAAGAAAAACATTTCTTGACCTGGCGAATCACCGAATCATACTTCTTGAATAATATCTTCTAACCCTAACCTCTCCGATTACTTCTAATTCCCTTACTACCTCTACTACTATTGGATTTGAATTGACAATTATATCTCTGTGCTGATGTGGTATGGCAACATGAACTGATGTACTTACGTACCAAGTTCTACGTTGCATCTGACTGACTGACTGGCGAATCACAAAGTCGTCTCAACTCTGGACCCACCTAGACAATATCGCTATCAGCCACCGATGGAGGAGTTCGGTAGAAGACTGTCGCTCGTTCTGGTGCACATATCTAGATTCAGATCATGCTCTAGTGCAAACGTGTATTTGTTTGCGAATTACTGGACGTAGGAAAGACACCGTAAGGAAACCTGTTAGGGTTCTACTTAATGATAACAAAGCTAAGAATATATTTCAGGGACAACTAGAAAAACAGTTAGGCGGACATGTAAGTGATTTCCATCCAGAGGCAGCTTGAAGTGATAACCAAAAAGCTGTGGAAACAGCAGTGATATCCACTAGTAAGGTAAACCATAAGACTAGGGTGAAGCCGTGGATCTCAGTAGCATCCACCAAACTGACGGATGCTCGAAAACTCATCCCACCTGACTCTGAACATGATGAAGAGCGAAGTCAGCTTGGGCGCAGGCTGATAAGTAGCCTACTGAAAGACTGCAAACAATGGTGGATGGCGAAATGGAGAGCGATGGAAAAGGCAGTGGCAATAGGCAACAGTAAACAACTTTTCCGCCTTTCCAAGGAAACCGGTATTAAAAATCCATGTGTTAGCGAAACTATCGCAGAAAAGGATGGCTGTACCATTCATTCTCAACCCAGGAGATTGGTTCGAAAGTCATCGATGGTTAGAGACTTTGAATGACATGGCTCAAAATCGTTTGCAATGGCGCCCGTGCATTTATTTATTGTGTTCTCTAAAATTCTAATCTTCTGGATTCCTCATCAAATCTATCTTTTTACAGATATCTCAATGAATTATAGTTCTCGAATCATATCTTCAAACCCTGATCTTCTCCATTCTCCTACTATGTTTACGGCTAGGGGATTGGAACTGACAATTGCGTTTCTGTGCTAATGTGGTATGGCAGCCTGAAATGATGTACTTACGTACGAAGTTCTACGTTGAAACAGGCTGACTGATTAGAAAATTAAAGATATCTAACAATCACCATTTTTAAATTTTAAAATCCCAAGAACCCAATTTAATTGTGAAAATCATTAGGCATTACATCACTTGTACACGTAAAATATCAGTTTTAAGAACGTAAGTGTATCCTAAAATAACTCGATAACAGAGAGCAGCTGTGTTCACAACTATTAAATATGGATCGCTCATATCAAGTTTTGGTAACGGCTACTTATCACAGAAAAAACTCGACAAACAAACCTTCGCATGTACACCAAAGGCTTCTTCCATATAGGTAAACTGGTTTGTTCCTTGTTTTAAACCACAAAGCACTAAACTGAATGGATGAGGTTTCATTACACGATTTCTGTTAAGCACATAGGTCATTTGATTCGAAAGAGACTTAATATCGACTAGTCTCATCTCAGATTCATGCGAGAAATCAAATAATAAAGGCTGAGCCGAATCAGGACATCGAATTTCAGAAGCTTGCCAAAAATCCCAATGCGAACGGATACACCTGTCATCAATTACTCGAAGAATACGGTCACATGATGCGGGTTTTCTTTCAGGAACAACCTTCACCTAGTTTGGATAAGAACAAGATACATTTTATAAACTCTGTGTTACTTTAAAAAAGTCAAAAAATTCCTTTCTCTAAACCAGTTATCAACAAGAGTCGGAAATCTACAAAAAAAGTGCTAAAATGACATAGGATAATATCTAACTGTTATTCATGTAACCTGACATAATTTCCTATTTTAACACACTGAAGTTCACATTAAACATAATCTTTAAATAGTTTCAGTCGGCGGTCAACGTTTAATACATCTACGATGTATCTTACTTACTTACTTTCGCTTGTTACATCCAAATGAGGATAGGCCGCCGACCAGTTCTCTCCAACCGATTCTGTTCTGAGCTTCCCTTACCAGTTCTTTCCAGTTTTCGTTCATTCTTCTCATGTCTTTCTCTATTTCTCTACGTAATGTGTTCCTTGGCCTTCCTCTTTTCTTTTGACCTGTGGGGTTCCACGTGAGGGCTTGCCTTGTGACGCAATTCGCTGCTTTTCTCAGTGTGTCCTATCCACTTCCACCGCTTCTTCCTGATTTCTCCCTCCACTGGAATCTGGTTTGTTCTCTCCCACATTAAGTTGTTGCTAATAGTGTCTGAACAACGAATCCGAAGTATTTTGCGAAGACAACTGTTAATAAACACTTGTATTTTCTGGATGATAGCTTCGGTAGTTCTCCAAGTTTCCGCTCCGTACAGTAGAACTGTCTTCACATTTGTATTGAAAATCCTGATTCTGGTTTTGGTTGAAAGTTGTTTGGAGTTCCAGATATTTTTCTACTGTAGAAATGCAGCCCTTGCTTTACCAATCCGCGCATTCAAATCTGCATCGGATCCACCTTTCTCGTCGATTATGCTGCCAAGATATGTAGAGGTGTTAACGTCCTCCAAATAATCTCCATCAAGAGTGATCTGGTTGGTGCATGTTGTGCTGTATCATAGAATCCTACTTTCCCCTTTATGTATGTTGAGAACTACTGCTGCAGAGGCTGCTGCTACACTGGTCATCTTCTATTGCATTTGTTGTTGCGTGTGCGATAGAAGAGCCAGGTCACCTGCGAAATCCAGATCGTCCAGCTGCGTCCCAGTGCTAGCTAACCGGATTCCGGAACACAGTAACTCTTGCGCAACGAGACTGAAAGAAACAGTATAGACTCAACAAGATGGGGACACGAACTGTTGCCCCTCTGTTGGCTCCAAATACACTCCCACAAACAGCAGTTCAGATGAGGTATTCGATGAATGCTAAGGAAAACATTCGGAAATCATAAAAACAGTCAGACGCTCTGATATCGTAATGATCACTGCTGAATTCGATGCTCAAGTAAGTAGACGAAGTAAAGAGGAAAGACACTAGACCTAATATCAGAGCCCTGATGCTACTTCCCAAGGTCTTGCTGGTGCAGGTATAGCATTGAGTCGTAGGGCTGAACTACCTCTCAAAGACTGAATCCCAATAGATAGTCGCTTATGCGCTATCCGAACAAAAGGAACAGCATGAAGTCAGGAACATAGGGACACTAACTGTAGTAATAATGGCTAGTGACTTCAATTCTCAAGTAGGTAGACGAAGTAAAGAGGAAAGACACTAGACCTTATAGTGTCGCGCCTAATAGAACAGATAATGGAGACCGTCTGCTGCAACTATGCTCAGATAACCGTCTATTCCTAGCAAACACTAACTTTAAGCATAAAGAAAAACATTTCTTGACCTGGCGAATCACCGAATCATACTTCTTGAATAATATCTTCTAACCCTAACCTCTCCGATTACTTCTAATTCCCTTACTACCTCTACTACTATTGGATTTGAATTGACAATTATATCTCTGTGCTGATGTGGTATGGCAACATGAACTGATGTACTTACGTACCAAGTTCTACGTTGCATCTGACTGACTGACTGACTGGCGAATCACAAAGTCGTCTCAACTCTGGACCCACCAAGACAATATCGCTATCAGCCACCGATGGAGGAGTTCGGTAGAAGACTGTCGCTCGTTCTGGTGCACATATCTAGATTCAGATCATGCTCTAGTGCAAACGTGTATTTGTTTGCGAATTACTGGACGTAGGAAAGACACCGTAAGGAAACCTGTTAGGGTTCTACTTAATGATAACAAAGCTAAGAATATATTTCAGGGACAACTATAAAAACAGTTAGGCGGACATGTAAGTGATTTCCATCCAGAGGCAGCTTGAAGTGATAACCAAAAAGCTGTGGAAACAGCAGTGATATCCACTAGTAAGGTAAACCATAAGACTAGGGTGAAGCCGTGGATCTCAGTAGCATCCACCAAACTGACGGATGCTCGAAAACTCATCCCACCTGACTCTGAACATGATGAAGAGCGAAGTCAGCTTGGGCGCAGGCTGATAAGTAGGATGGCTGTACAATTCATTCTCAACCCAGGAGATTGGATGGATGGGCCGAACTGTCCTTCTTCAGCCACACCTTGGTTTTCCACGATCTCCAGTCATCCCGAATGGCAAATCGATATAAGTCCTCCGAGTTTGAATAAAGTTGAGAAATCTATCGGAAATCTAAAGCGAGGTAGAGCCGTAGGCTTACCACTGAGATATTTAAGAACAAAGGTTCAGTTAAACCAGTTAGATTGGCTGAGACCTTAGGTACAATCTGGAAACTGGGCGTAATCCTATCTGAATGGTCTCAACCACTGATTGACTCAATTTATAAGAAAGGACAAAAGTCTTATTGTGACGATCACAGCAATCAGCTTGACCAATATAGCATAGAAAATATTTGCCCCAATAAAACTCCGACGCCTAACAGAGTGTCAGATGCAACGTAGAACTTCGTACTTAAGTACATCAGTTCATCACCACAGCAGCACAGAGATGTAATTGTCAATTCAAATCCAATAGTAGAAGAGGTAGTAAGGGAATTAGAAATAATCGGAGAGGTTAGGATTAGAAGATACTATTCAACAAGTATGATTCAGTGAGATAAGTTTAGAGAGTCGAAACTAGAGGGGTTGATGAATCCAGAAGATTAGGATTTGAGAGAACACAAACAATAAATGCACCGGCGCCATTGCGAACGACTTTGAGCCATGTCATTCAAGGTCTCTAACCATCGATTATTATCATCTCGCGGACCCCAACCAGGTAGTCGACAATTACCGACATGGCTCAGTCCACTCGTCAATGACTTCATGGATTTCTGCCATGTTTTCGTTTGGCCGCCCCTAACTTTCTTCCAACCTATTCCTACACTACAAAACAAGGCTCGACGAGGCAGCCGGTGGTTGGGCATACGCAACACATGTCCCAACCACCTCAACTGGTGAAGTTTCAATACTTCATCGATTGATCTGCCATTCTTACCTAGCACCCGATTCCTAATAACAGCGTTGCTCACTCGGGTGTCCCACGATATACGAGCAATGCTTCGAAGACACCTATGATCGAAAACCATTAACCTACGAATATCTTCTACTCTCACTGGCCATGTTTCACAGCCATAAAGTAAGACGGAGCGAACTACTGCGCAGTACACTCGTCCTTTAGTCAGCAAACGGATATCTCGCCTACGCCATAACTGACGCAGGTTGGCAAAAGCCAATCGAGCCTTCTGTATCCGTGCTGAGATTTCGTCAGTCACCAGGCCATCAACACTAATGAGACTCTCGAGATAAGTGAAGCGGTCAACAAGTTCGACTACTTCACTCCCTATCACTAGTTCAGGTGCCGATGCAACCCAATCTTGAAGCAACATTTTGCATTTCGAGGGCAAGAACCGCATCCCGAACGTGCTTGCATTGTTGTTTTGGGTAGTCAGATGACTCTGCATTGTCAGCATCTTCACCATGTAGGACTATGTCATCGGCATATTCTAAGTCAATAAGCGAGCGACCTAGTAGAAGGTTCACTCCTGAGAATTCAGACGAGGATAAGGTTATTTCTAAGAGCATGTCTATGATAAAGTTAAACAAGAATGGAGGAAGTGGACATCCCTGACGGACACCACTTGAAGTGAAGAATTCCGGTGACAGTTCGCCATAAGCTCTCACTCGACCAGTGGTGTTCGAGTAGAGAGCTTGTATAAGGTTAATGTACTTCTTTGGTACACCTTTCAATGACAGACACTGCCACAGAACCTCACGATTAACAGAGTCAAACGCCGCTTTCAGGTCCAGGAAAACAACTATTGTAGGACGCCTAAATGTGTGTCTATGTTCCAGGACCTGTCGTACTGTGAAGACGTGGTCTATACAGCCACGTCCAGGTCGAAAACCAGATTGGTTTCTCGAGTTTGATCTTCACGAGCTTTCGTTAAGCGTCGAAGTATTATTGAGGCCAATATTTTAGATACTATATTAGTTAGACTTATTCCCCTGTGATTGTCACAAGAAGACTTTTGTCCTTTCTTATAGATTGGGACAATCAGTGATTGAGACCAGTCGGATGGGATTGCGTCCAGTTCCCAGATTCTACTTAAGATCTCAGTCAACCTAGCTGCTAAAACTGGACCACCATCCTTAAATATCTCAGGGGTCAGTCTATCAGGACCCGCAGCTCGTCCTCGCTTCAGATTTCCTAACGCTTTCTCAACGTCATTAAGACTAGGCGGACTCACGTCGACTTGCCATTCAGGATGACTGGAGATCGTGGGTAACCGAAGACTGGCTCGAGGCCAGTTGAACTGATCCCTAAAGTGTTCTGCCCATCGATCCAGTCTCCTGGATTGAGAATAAATAATAGTTCCGTCATTTTCTGAGATAGTCTCACTTACACTAGGATTCCTAATACCAGTTTCCTTGATAAGTCGGAAAAGTTGTCTACTGTTGCCTATCGCCGCTGCCTTTTCCATCGCTTTTGCTTTCGCCACCCACCACTGTTCGCGATCGTTACGTAGGCTTTTTATAAGTCTGAGCCTAAGTTGACTTCGTTCTTCATCATGTTCAGAACCACGTGGGATGAGTTTTCGGGCATCCATCAGATCGGTGGATACTACTGAGAGCCACGGCTTCATCCTAGCCTTATGGTCAACCTTACTAGCAGATATCACTGCTGTTTCAACAGCTTTTTGGATATCATTCCATCCTGCTTCCGGATGCGAATCGCTTAAATGATAGCCTAACTGTCTTTCTAGTGTGGTGCTGTGTTGCGAACTACTTATAAGTAGTATATAGCGTGAGTGTCAACGTAAAGTCTGGTAGCATAATATGGGGGGAAGATCAAGAAAGGAAGAGTCAGAAAACAATGGAATTTGTATGAAACGCATGAAGAGTGACAATGGATTGATGTTTGGCAACAGGAACAGTCCAGTTCCATAGGATGAACTGATCCTTTGCAAATGAACGATTTACGATATGGTTTTCCGATTTTACTGAGTAACTCTGTAATTTTCGTTAAATACAATTCGGTTGCCTCCACCTGTGTTTTCATTCACTACATTTGGTGTAGCTGCCTGCTCGAAGGAAGGGGCTCCCGTGGCCGAAGGAGTTGCAGGACGGAGATTGGCGGAGCTTCCTGGAGGAGTTTGGGGCCACGGTGGAGCTGGTGGGGGCTTGGGGCGGAGTTGACGGTGCTGGGGACGCTGTGGGGAGGTGAGGCGAAGGCGGTGCACGACAGCCTGGACGGTGCCACCAAGGAGACGGCGTGGGAGACGGTCACCGGGCAGCTGATAATGGAGTTCGACAGCCCAGCGGACAGGGAGGAGGCGCCGCAGAGGTTCCGGTTGGCGCGGCTGTCGGCCGATGGTGACCTGTTGGTGCTTGCTGTGGAGCTCACCGGATTGCGCCGTGAGGAGTGGACGGGGCACAGTCTTTGGCGTCGCAATTTATCGAGTGTGTGCCTGCCGCCGTGTTCCAGCATCGGGAACTTGTGGACGCTACACGTTGGATAGATGCCGTATCCATTCCAGACCAGTGATCAAGAACGATGACCGAAGTGGTAATCCGGCATAGTGTAGCGTGTCACGGAATACGGAAGGTGATATTAACTGACCAGGAGCTCTGTTTTGAAGGACCACGACGACAGCTTATTAAAAGGGGGGACGAGTGTGGTGCTGTGTTGCGAACTACTTATAAGTAGTATATAGCGTGAGTGTCAACGTAAAGTCTGGTAGCATAATATGGGGGGAAGATCAAGAAAGGAAGAGTCAGAAAACAATGGAATTTGTATGAAACGCATGAAGAGTGACAATGGATTGATGTTTGGCAACAGGAACAGTCCAGTTCAATAGGATGAACTGATCCTTTGCAAATGAACGATTTACGATATGGTTTTCCGATTTTACTGAGTAACTCTGTAATTTTCGTTAAATACAATTCGGTTGCCTCCACCTGTGTTCTCATTCACTACACTAGTTGTTCCTGAAATATATTCTTCGCCCTAACGAAAGCTCATGAAGAGCAGACTATAGAAAACTAGGCTGACTTTCGACCTGAATGTGGATGTATAGACCAAATATTCACATTACGTCAGGTCTTATAACAAAGACACGTCCAGACGCCCCATCGTGGTAGTATTTTACGACCTTAAGGCGGCATTTGACTCAGTGGATCGTGAGGTTCTGCGGTAGTGCCTATCATTGAACGGTGTACCAAATAAGCATATTAACCTTATACAGGCTCTCTACTCGAACAATACCAGTCGAGTGAGAGCTTATGGAGAACCGTCATCGGAATTCTTTACGTCAAGTGGTGTTCGTCGGGGCTGTCCACTCTCTACATTCTTGTTTAACTTAGTCGTAGAAATGCTTTTAGAATTAAGTTTATCTTCGTCTGACCTTTCAGGTGTGGTCCTTCTACCAGTTGATTCGTTGGTTAACTTACAATATCCCAGTGACATATTTCTACTTGGTGAAGACGCTGACAAAATAAAGACTACTGACTACCCTAAGAAACAATACAAGCATGTTCGGAATGCGATTCTCCCAGCCGAAATGAGAAATCTTGCTTCAAAATTGGCTTTTATGGGCAACGGAAATAGTGATAGGGAGTGAAGCAGTTGAGGGTGTCGAACGCCTCACCTACCGTGGCAGTTCCATCAGCAGGCGGCCTCGTGTGCGACGAAATCCCATCACGCATACAGAAGGCTCAATTGGCTCCTGCCGATTTGCGTTATGTGTGGCGCAGGTGAGATATCTGTTTGCTAACCAAACGACGAGTGTACTGCTCAGTTCTTTCTTCGCTCCGTTCTACTGATGGAGATTCTCTACGTCATCGAGTTACCCACCGTCATTACGTAACGACAGCATTGTTTAGTCACTTGTCTCAGGATAAATGAGCAATGCTTCGACGAATGCTGTGGTCGAATACTAGTAACCTACGAATGTCCTCTACTTTTTCCGGCTATCCTTCCCATCCGTATAGTAGAACTGAGCAAATTACTGAGCAGTAGACTCGTCTTTTGGTTGGAAAACGGATATCTCCCCTACGCCATACGTGACGAAAGTTGGCAAAAGCCAATCGAGCCTTCTGTATGCGTGATGGGATTTCGTCGCACACGAGGCCGCCTGCTGATGGGACTGCCACGGTAGGTGAGGCGTCCGACACCCTCAACTGCTTCACTCCCTATCACTATTTCCGTTGCCCATAAAAGCCAATTCTGAAGCAAGATTTCTCATTTCGGCTGGGAAAATCGCATTCCGAACATGCTTGTATTGTTTCTTAGGGTAGTCAGTAGTCTTTATTTTGTCAGCGTCTTCACCGAATAGGACTATATCATAAGCATCCTATTGTGGGGCGTCGAAACGAGAGTCTGTGTTCTAGGACCTGAGGTAGTGCGAATATCTGGTTTATGAATCCACGTCCAGATCAGTAGATTAAGTAGTGAAACTTCATCAGTTGTGGTGGTTGGGATGTGTATTACTAATGCCTAACCACCGACTGCCTCGTCGAGCTGTATTTTGCGGTGTAGGAATAGGTTGGACGAAAGCTAGGGGCGGCCAGACCAAAACATGACAGAAATCCATGAAGTCACTGACAAGTGAACTGAGTCATGTCGGTAGGTGTCGACTACTTGGTTGGGGTCCGCGAGGCGTTAGTAATCGATGGTTAGAGACCATGAATGACATAGCTGAAAACCGTTTGCAATGGCTCAGGTGCATTCATTCTTTGTGTTCTCTCGAATCCTCAACTTTTTAATTCTTCATTAATTTATCTTTATCGTTCAAAGTCTATTTTACTAGATTCTACTTCTTGAATAATATCTTCTAATCCTAACCTCTACGAGTACTGCTAATATTACATCTTTGTGCTAATATGGTATTTCAACATGAACTGATGTACGTACGTACGAATTTCCACGTTGCGATCGACTGGTTGACTAGTATTAAACAAATTTGGGAACAAATGTTAAAATGACAAGAAAAGTCAGCAGAAATATACTTTGGAAACACAAAATTGTGCATTTACCTTGTTTATCTTTTTTAAAACGGCATTTTCTTCGCGCTTTTCACACTTGTATAGAAATCTCAGAAATTTCGTGCGAGATGTGTAACTGGGACAACATAACAGGTTCAGAATATCTTTGTCGTTTAAAGATTTCGGAACATCAGCACCTCTTTCAAGCATATTCCGATATTCTGTCATACAAAACTCTAATCTTTCTGTATCCTCAGGAGTAAGACGACTTAAAACTTCTTCTGGTCTTCTCGTCCTATCTAAAAGATATTCAGCAATACTAATTTTCGAAAAGCATCTCTTATGAACGATCAACTTTATCGTTAAATTATCAACCATGGAACGGAGAAACATGATGATTTTGTAGTGATTTAATGGTCTGCCAGATCTTGATCAAATGTAAAAGACTTTCAACTTTCATCAACCTAAAAATGTTGAGTGAATAAATACACGAAACGAAACTTAGACCACAAATCGACATTAAATACAAGAAAGTATAACTCTGCTTCGCGAATCTTGAAAATCAAAGTGGTGTATATTATACATGAGATAAATGTCGTCGACATCGAGCGAAATATTAGGCCATTTAACTTAACTGTACTTATCTGTCAACTGGTAAGTCACCCGAAACATGGATTTTATTCGCATTTCTACTTCTTGAGAAAGGAACCACTTTGAGCCTCTGTTAGTTTAATTTCATGTAGAGTAAATTGTTAGGAAAGCAAGAGTCAAAGCAAAAGTCATAGTAACCATTTGGTTGAAAGATTTTGAATAACCACTACTACTATCCAAACTGTTTGCCGTTACAGTATGCAATGATTTACACCTTACAGAACCTATAAACCAACAGCAACGTTACAAAGATTATTCATAATCATAAGACGAGAATGAAGTACTAAGCGGTTACCAAAAATCAATTTCTGCCTATTGAGATTATCAATGAACTGAGAGAACACTAATGCTTAATTTGTGAAAACATTTCACAACTGCTTTTGAGTAGCCTAAATATCCAGAGGTATGGTGAACGAAATTAAAAAAACTTCATCTAAACCTACAGATGTGGTTTGATTAAATGAACAAGAATAAATTCTGAACAAAAACTTATGATTGAAGTAAAAGATTCACAATTTTACTGGAAAAACATTAGATGTTTTCTGACCCAATTTGTGTGACGTGACTCGGGAACCATAAACTCAGTATACTTTATTGACATATACTATAAAAAGTATTCCCTAAATTGAAGTTGAACAATTCACACCTTTACTATTTTAAGATTCGAACGACATGTACATGAATGGATGAATTAACTGAATATCGAACTAGGAAGTCGTAGAAAATAAGTGTCGGACAACTATAACTAAGTCTGAACTGTTTGAAAATGCATTCTTATGGTCTGTTGTATTCATGTTATGATTGGGTTTTGTACATTTATAGGAACTTATTCATCAGATTATTAGGAATAGATACGTCAAGTGTGAGAGCTAAAGAAACTACTCAGCTGCCTGAAACGAAGTAGGCGTAACAAAGCTAAAACTTCGGACTTAATGGCTGAACGTACAACGACTTAACCGCCTATATATCGACCTTTGTTCTAAGCTCCCCCGATATCCCACACTGAACTACATATCCGAGCTTCTAATGTAGGGACACTGAGTCAAATCGGACAACTAGCTTCCTTAGGTACGAACTTAGAATCTCTGACAATCGAGGTGTGCTACGTATCCGAAACGCGCACACATGATCATAAGGAAGAAAAAGCTTTCTTGGACTTGATTCCAGTAAAAAGTCGCTTGTGCGCTGTCCGACTAAACGGGACTAGCAAAGATAGGAACATGCGCCATTTCCTCTTCGTCGTAACTGCCTACGCTCCCACTGACAGCATTTCAGAGGAAATAAAAGACCAGCTATACAAAAAGCTTTCAGACCTTTCCCAAACTGTAAGCCCACTGATGAAGTAATAGTGAGTGGTGACTTCGGTGCACAAGTAGGTAGACTAAGCGAAAGGGAAAGACACCTGGGAGGATCTTATGGTGTATTGACTGAAAGACCAGATAATGGCGAACGTCTACTGCAACTCTGCTCAGATAACCGCCTATTCTTAGTAAATATTAAATTTAGGCAGAAGGAAAAACATTTTATGCTACGAAGACCACCAAAGTCAGAACAACCCTAAGAAAGATATCAATCAGTAGCAACGAAGAATTTCGTACGTACGTACATCAGTTCATGTTGAAAAACCATATTAGCAGTACTCGTAGAGGTTAGGATTAGAAGATATTATTCAAGAAGTAGAATCTAGTAAAATAGACTTTGAACGATAAAGATAAATTAATGAAGAATTAAAAAGTTGAGGATTCGAGAGAACACAAAGAATGAATGCACCTGAGCCATTGCAAACGGTTTTCAGCTATGTCATTCATGGTCTCTAACCATCGATTACTAACGCCTCGCGGACCCCAACCAAGTAGTCGATACCTACCGACATGACTCAGTTCACTTGTCAGTGACTTCATGGATTTCTGTCATGTTTTGGTCTGGCCGCCCCTAGCTTTCGTCCAACCTATTCCTACACCGCAAAATACAGCTCGACGAGGCAGTCGGTGGTTAGGCATTAGTAATACACATCCCAACCACCACAACTGATGAAGTTTCACTACTTAATCTACTGACCTGGACGTGGATTCATAAACCAGATATTCAAACTACGTAGGATGGAGCGAACTGCTGCGCAGTACACTCTTCCTTCAGTCAGCAAACGGATATCTCGCCTACGCCATAACTGACGCGAATTGGCAAAAGCCAATCGGGCCTTCCGTATACGTGCTGAGACTTCGTCAGTCAACACGCCATCAACACTAATGAGACTCTCGAGATAAGTGAAGCGGTCAATAAGTTCGACTACTTCACTCCCTATCACTAGTTCAGGTGCCGATGCAACCCAGTCTTGAAGCAACATTTTGCATTTCGAGGGCAAGAACCGCATCCCGAACATGCTTGCATTGTTGTTTAGGGTAGTCAGAAGACTCCGCATTTTGTCAGCGTATTCACCAAGTAGAACTACGTCATCGGCATATTCTAAGTCAACAAGCGAGCCACCTGGTAGGTCTACTCCTGAAAATTCAGACGACGATGTGATAAAATTAAACAAGAATAGAGAGTGGACATCTATGACGGACACCACTTGAAGTACAGAATTCCGAAGACAGTTCGCCCTAAGCTCTCAGTCGACTGGTATTGTTCGAGTAGAGAGCTTGTATAAGGTTAATGTACTTCTTTGGTCCGCATTTTGATGACAGACAATGCCACAGAACCTCACTATCCAAAGGCTCAGATGCAGCCTTATGGTCCAGGAATACAACTCTTGTCGGACACATAAATATGTGTCTGTGTTCCAGGACCTGTCGTAGTGTGAACACTTATTCCCCTATGATTGTCACAATAGGGATTTTGTTCTTTCTTGTAGACTGGGAGAATGAGAGATTGAGACCAGTCGGATGGGATTACGTCCAGTTCCCAGATTCTACCTAAGATCTGAGTCAACCTAGCTGCTAAAACTGGACCACCATTTTTAAACATTTCACAAGTCAATCTATCTGGTCGTGATGCTCTCTCTGGCTTTAGATATCCTAGAGCCTTTTCAACTTCATAAAGAGTCAGTGGACTTACATCGATTTGCCATTTAGGATGACTGGAGATCGTGGGTAATCGAAGTGTGACTGAAGGAGATTTGAACTGATCCCTAAAGTATTCTGCTCATCGACCCAATCTTCTGGATTGAGAATGTATAATAAGTCCATACTTTTCCGAGATAGTCTCGCTCACATGCAGGTTGCTAATACCAGATTCCCTGATAAGGCGGAACAACTGTCTACTGTTGTCTATCGCCGCTGCCTTTTCCATCGGTCTGTCTGCGTAGGCTTTTTATCAGCATGCGCTTATGCTGACTTCGTTCTTCGTCATGTTCAGAATGAGGTGGGATGAGTTTTCGAGCATTCATCAGTTCGGTAGATGCTACTGAGATCCACGGCTTCACCTTAGTCTTATGGTTCACCTTACTAGTGGATATCACTTCTGTTGTAACGCTATCGTTGTGTTGTAATGCCTGCTTAGATAATTCCCGGTAAATTCCTATTGCTTAGTATTCTCTGACCACAATACAATGGACACGTTCCCAAGAATCAAAACACAGTTGAACAGGAAAGATCATATTCCAAATAGCAAGGTTAAATGGAAATAAGCAGCCAAAGGTGATGGCGAAGGCGAATGCAAAGGCCAAAAATAGATACAATGTTAGTCTATTTATAGCATTTACATGAGAAGCTTTCTGGATAGAAATTCACGTGATCGAATGGATTAAATTTAGCCAATCAGCACACAGCTAACAATACGAGAATCTTCTACCCTGTTCTCCAAAATTCGATCAGGCGCTGATTGGATAGGAAATTAGCCAGTCACCGCGCAGCAACGTAGTCATGCTTTAATTCCATCTATGTCCCACTAACAGCTTCAAGCTGCCTCTGGATGGAAATCACTTACATGGCCGCCTAATTGTCTTTCTAGTTGTCCCTGAAATATATTCTTAGCTTTGTTATCATTAAGTAGAACCCTAACAGGTTTCCTTACGGTGTCTTTCCTATGTCCAGTAAGTCGCAAACAAATACACGTTTGCACTAGAGCATGATCTGAGTCTAGATATGTGCACCAGAACGAGTGACAGTCCTCTATCGAACCCCTCCAACTGTTGCTTTTAGCGATGTGATCTAGCTGGGTCCAAAGTTGAGACGACTTTGGGATTCTCCAAGTCAAGAGATGTTTTTCCTTATGCCTCATGTTAGTGTTCGCTAAGAACAGACGGTTATGTGAGCACAGTTGCAACAGACGGTGGCGATTGTTTGTTCTCTGAGCTACGAGACCATAAGATCCACTCATGTGTCCTTCATTTTCACTAAGTCTACCTACATGAGCGGTCAAGTCACCAGCCATTATGACTACATCCTAGTGGCTAGTGTTTTGTAGGTCAGAAAGCTTCCTGTAAAACTGATCATTGACGTCGTCTGAACTGAAGACAGTAGAGTTGTGGGCAGATATGACGATAAGGCAACGACAAGTGTCCCTATTCTTACGAATCCTTACTGTCCCGCTAGGTAGGACAGCGCACAAGCGACTATCTACTGGTATCCATTCTTTGAGAGGTAGTTCAGCCCTAAGACTCAATGCTATACCTACAAGAGCGAGACCCCGGGAAGCAGCATCATGGCTACCGGATACACGAAGAGTAAATCGAGTTGCTTCTTTATTTTGACACAGTGTAATCAAATTAATGACTTTACTAGGATCCTGTTTGCGCGTTTCCG